CACACAAACAGAAGTATTTTTTGTGCATCCTAGGCAACATACTAAAAGAATGACATTCATAACTACAATCAAAAGAGTAGATAAGTCATTCTAGAACTGGAAAGGATAACATATGGTTTACTTTTTCTCCAGGTCCTGAAGATATGGAATCAAGAGTCCTTTTAAATGTAGTGGAAATCTTGATGTCTATTATAGATGCTGAACTGTTCAAACCCTTCCTCACATGATGGGTGCTTGCAACGTTTTGAGCAGCTGAACGGGATTTTGGACATGTAATGTACTAAAGAGAAAAGGCACGTTAAACTTCCCTTGCTTCTTACTCTCTATGAAGTTTTGCTCAATAAATGCAGCAATGGATCTAGGGTCTAACAAAAACCACTTTTCTGGTTTTGCAGGGGTAAGACTGTGCACATCTTGATTCTTGACCCTCCAAACCCTGACAGAGTTGGGATTATACTAGGTTGTTGTTGTATAGTGCGGACGGGAGAGAATGGGGGGAGTTTGTCAACAGAAAAAAGACAACAAATTGACAATAAGTCAATACCCTTAACAATAATGTTTATCAAAGGTCCAAAAGACAAACCTCCTCATCACTTTGGGGAGAGGAATCTTGCAGCAGAGTTTCAAGCATATTTTCAGCTATGTTTTTGTTCATTTGCTGAGTTCCTTGATCAAGATCACCATTAACATTTGCATCCTTCAAATCCTGTGTCATTCCGTCCATGATATTTATCTTCTGACTTGAAGTAGTAAGGCATGGTGCATCCCATTTATCATCAACCAGGGCGAGGTCACTTTTGAGTTTCTCTATATTTGTTTCACATTTGAAGATCTCTGCTTTGCCTTTTGCATTCAATATGTTAAGTACTTCAATACAAGATTTCTCATTTAACGCGTTTTCCTCGATGATATCTACAACCAAAAAGGAACAGACAAACATGATGGTGTGAACACAATTGAAATGGTACATACACACATTTAAATGTGAAAAACGTGAACTCAGAGAATAAGGTGAATGTGAACTCACCAAGTCTAGGACTGAAGTACAAGTCAAATGGCCAAGTATTTTCTGAACATCTTTCATCTGAAATGTAAGAAAAGTTAATCTGATCAATGAAGCTAGAGGAATGGTAAGGATCATGCAGAATGTCAACTTAAGGACGCCCCCAGATATCAAATTCACAACAAAGGACAAACTTAATTTAAGGGAAAAACAAACTATGATTGACAGGCAAGACTATAATATATAGTCTGAAAGAAGATCAAAACCTTGGGTGTATTTACAATCCCAAATGGAAAAGTCCAAATCCTCAGAAAACCCCATCCTGAAATATGCCACCAATAACATTAGACAGGAGTTTGTCTCAATTTAAGGAGAAAATGATAGTGATCATACCAACATCTGACACACTAATATGATGTATCATGAACACAAATAAAGACAATTAAATACTCCCTCTGTCCGAAATTAGTTGTCCACTTTCTAACAAAATCTCATTTTTAAGAAATGTGTTTAAAATGTCAAATAAGTCCTTCAAATGAGTTTGTCACTCATTCATTTCAACAATGATCATACCTAATCTCCAGGATATTTTAGACAATTCATCATAATCTCTTTATTGAATATTGAAAGTGGATAACTCATTCCGTAAAAACAAGAACAAGAAAGTGGACAATTAAATCCAGAGGGAGTGTTTTTTATACCGCTAGAATCAAAAAATTCTAGTCAGGGCTTCAAAAGCAAGCCCTAATAAGGCTTCAGTTTTTTTATACTACTGCTTTACATTCTTTTCATGTTGCACACCCCAATAAGGCAACCTGGGTAAAATATTAGTGTAAACTGAGGAACATTTATTGTTATTCTTAAGAGCATGAAAGAAAATGAAATCATTTGATACTGATTATTGAAAACTGAAAATTTTCTAAATGTGACTCGTTTATGGAACTATAAAGGAAGTCCTAATGCATGTTGTATCTTTAAAACAATAGATACCTTGGCAATTTGCTTCTCTGACATTCTCAATGCTCTTAACAATGGACTAACCCTCCCCTCATTTGAGGCAAAGACCAATATGTTAAAATCACTGCATTTCAACTAACAAACGTGAATACAATGACTATCCAATATGAGTAAAACCCAAACCCACAGTGAGCATAAACCTCTCAAAATTCATAGAAATGTCAGTAATATTATCCATTACTTATACCTAAAGCCTAAAATATAGAAATCCAGCCTACACAAAACTCTGCTAAATCAGTAAAATAATATAAGAAATTGAAATAGTCAGATTTTTTGAAACAGGAAACAGAATAAATCTTGTTCTATAAAAACACAATGATGAACTGCATTCCACAAAAAAAAGAGAGGACAATGTCATCAAGCAACCCTAAACAAATTATTTCTAAATTAATACAGAGTAAACAAATAAGCCAAATTATACACTTTCAGGATTACTCGCAATGAAATCAAACGATTGGAGACTGAATCGAAGGAAATGATTTTATTCCAGGATTAATTCAACAAATTGAGCTTCTCCATATTGAATAAAACACGCCATTTGACGAAAACATCAAAGGAAAAATTATCTGGACTACAACACTACGAAGTGAAATTCCAAGTTTATATGGTTTCATGATAAACCTTAGAGTTTGAGAGGTTTGGAATGAAGAATTAGAGCATGCGTTCAAGTAATGGCGGAAAACCGGAAATGCGACTGAGGTGGCTGGCGGTGTAACTCAGCGTTCAACGGAGTCGGAAGCGCGCTGACGCCGAGTTTTCTAAGTCGTAAGCAGTAATGCTCCAGTCCTTCGTGATGCACAGTCGGAGAGGCTTTCCGGCGAGTTAGCTCAGGAGATTTCCGGTGACCTCTCCGCGACTCTATGGTGGGATGGGATGGCCAGAGAAGAGAAATGTGAAATCAGAACGTCTTTGAGTGCATTGGCTCATTTTGGACAAAACTTGTCTACTTACTCTACTCATGTTTTACGCAGATATAGGCTATAGCGTTTCTCTTTCTAAATTTTAAATCAAGACTTTTTAATTAGAGCCGACTCCACCCCAGTCAAATCACCCCCAGTAAATTGAACCGGAACCTAATCCAAACTTTGGCGGTTGAACAGTTTCATTAAATAGGTATGCTTGAGATATAATTACTTCCGTCCCTTAATATTTGTCTAGTTTTAGTATTTTTGTTTAACTGTTTTCAACTTTTAACCTATAATTAAATAAAATGTATATTATATATTAATTAAATAAAATAATATGTAGAAAAAATTTGATATAATAAATCTAATTAAATTATTTTTGTATCAATATCTAATATCATTTTTAATTAATTTGAAATTAAAGTTTACCAATTTTGATCAAAAAAAGTCAAAAGTAGACAAATACTCAGGGACGAAGGGAGTATCATATTTGTATTTTAATTTGTACATCAAATGTATCTTAGATATATTCAGAGAGTATTTGTCTGACCACCGCACATGCAATTATGATACTCCCTCCTTCCCAAATTATTTGCCACATTTGTATTCCCGAGGCAAAATATCAAGTTTTTTCAATTCATTTTATTTACATATTGGTATAAAAATAAAAAATAAAATTTACATATAAAAAAACTACATGAAAAGTTATTCGAAATAAGAGGTGTCAAAAATATTTTGTTTTATCAAATAACCAATGAAAACGTTGAAATAAACAAAAGTTTCCGCGACTGCTGAAAAAACAAATGTTGTGAATATTTAAGGACGGAGGGAGTATGTGTTGTACAAGTTAAGGTACAAATTTGATCTAATTTTAGTTGTTTTCTTCAATCAATTAGTAAACTTGAACATCTTCCTATAGTTCTGTTCCGGTTTCGGAAGTTCGGATCGCGATCATATTTGAATCAAAGAAAGTTGATTCCATGTCCCTTGATTCCCTAGAACAGTAGAACCAAAATTGGAACTCGTAAGTTTGTGATTAGCTCTGAAGAAATGTTATATTCACAAATGCAAAATTTACCAAATATAAATTTTGTCATTTGTGTATTTGAATTTTTGATTACTACCTCCGTCCCACTGGCTTTGTCCACTTTTGACTTTTAGAACCGTTCATCTAAGCACTTTGACTCATCAAATTATGTATAAGCCTAAATATAGTCATGTGTGATCTTGTTTGATTTGTCTTAACATATAGATTATTAATATATAATTTCTATAATTTTTTAATATACAAATTACAAGATAAAATGGATTAAAGAAGTGTATTGGATGGTGTGTCAAAAGGTAAGTGGACAAAGACAGTAGGACGAAGGGAGTATTTAAAATAAGTTTGTTTTCTTGGTGAGACGCACAAATACTAAGATTGTATATTTTGTGACTAACATTTTCTTAATTTCGAGTCCATTCTACCAACACTTTTGGACTTGGTATTGACTTCAGAACGTTTTTTTTTTTTTTTGCAAATTTAGCACACAAAAGTATCAAAAAATAAAGCAAAGAGCCCTACTAAGAGCTTACCCCCCAATTCTTGGACACGACTTTGGTCTATGCAATTTTGGTCCGGTTTAGATTTTATGTTAGCATTTTGTTTGCATCATCTGATTTGATCCAATTTTTTGAACTTCTAATCTGATCTGACTTTTTGTAATTCTAATTTGATATGGCCTGATCTGGTTTGGTATTATTTGATCGGATCTAGTTTGATTAAAATTAAAATTATTTTTATTTTTATCATAATAATAATAATAACAATGGTAATAGTAATAACTGAAATAATAATAGTACTAATAATAATAGTAATAGTATTAATCATAGTTATAGTAATAATAATAGTAATAATAATTATTATAGTAATAATAATAATAGTAATAGTAATAATAATAGTAATAATAATCATTATAGTAATAATAATCATAATAGTTATATCATTAATAATAATAGTAATATTAATAATAATAGTAATAATAACAATAATCATAATAGCTATATTAATAATAATAATAATAGTAATTATAATAATAGTAAGAGTAATAATAATAGTAATACTAACTGTAATAACAATAATAATAATAGAAATATTAATAATAATAATAATAATGATAATAATAGCAATAGAAATAACCATATTAATAATAATAATAGCAATAATAAGAGTAATACTAATAATAGTAATGATAATAATAACAATAGTAATAATAATAATAGCAATAATAATAATAGTAATAGTAATAATACTATAATAGTAATAATAATAATATTTTTTTTAGGTTTGATCTCATTGGAACTAATCTAGTCTGGTTTGATCTGGTCTGATTTAATCTTATCTGATTGGATTTGATCTAATCTGGCCTAATCTGATCATATTTTAATAGGAATAAGTAATAAGAAGAAAAAAATAAGTTGAACGGAATGCTGCCTTAGTTTCATAACCGGTTTAAAACAAATATATTGTAACACCCTAATCCGTCCAGGTCTGCAGCCCCATTCGGACTAAAGTATTTAACTTGGTAATCGTAAAAATTTAAAACTTTTCAAACACACTTTATTAATCTCAATAATATTTTTCATAACATATCCAGTACGGAGTATTCAACAATATTGCGGAAGCGATTTTAATATTGACATATCATAAATTGTTTCAAAACTTGTCACATCCATCCCGACAATCTCGCCCCATCTGCCGCCAGGATCACAATGTGCTTTCTGCTTACCTGCGTGTAGCAAATAAAACATACTACACGCTCAGCGGTAAAGCTGAGTAAGCATATCTAATGCGTCGAACATCCATATAAACTGAATCTAAATTTATAATCAAATCATTTGATATCATGCACACAATGTTCATTTCAGACATTCACGGTTTTGATAATGTTCAGTTCATATCAACACATTTTATTCAATTCAGATATTATTCTGACAGTGCCCTTAAATTATTCTTAAATCTAAGGCCAAATAATAACAATACTCTTAGCTATTCTTAGTTTAAGGCCAAATCATAATTTTCATAACCAGATCCTTAAAAGGCAATTATTCATCAGACACTTAAACTATCATTAGTTTAAGGCAATTGATTTCAGACACTTAACTGTAGTCAGTTAAGGCAATCAGACACTTAAACTATCACTAGTTTAAGGCAAATGATTCAGACACTTAACTGTAGTCAGTTAAGGCAACAACAATATAGCGATTGATCAACATTAGATCGGGCATTCCCAAACGAGTGATCCTGTAGTTTGGTCTATGAATCCCATTTATGCGTTTTTATCTAATTCATCAAATGTTCATGTTTTCATAAGCCTGTTCTAATACAAGATTTATTCTAGAGGTCTTCTAGATAGCCTTAACATCAATTAACTAATAGGTATATGATGGAGGACGGCCCCAAAAGACACGTCATCCGGTACCCATCAGCCACGTGGAGGATCTTCCCTGCTCGGCCCATGAACTCGGCTCGCTCTATGGGCTCGGCTTGGGTAGCGGGCTCGGCTGGGGACCATGATAGCGACTGCTGGATAGCGACCGACCGCGTTGACTGCGCGACAGCGACGGGATGAAAGGGACAACGCATAACAGGGATGACGTCCGCTAGGCGACGAACCTCGATCAGAGAAACTTTGACTATGTGTATTGTATCCCCTATAAAAGGATCCATTACAGTGAGGAGGTCGCTCCGGGCAGCGGCAACGGCACGGGTGGCATCGCTTCGACTCCGGACGCGGTCCAGGCGCTGTTCGGGTTGGGGGTGACCACGGAGCAACTCCAGGCGGCCGTTGCGGCACTTTCTGCCATGGGTGGGAACGTGCCTGGCGCCGGGGTTGGCAAAGCTCCGCTCGGTCACCACACCGAGCACGCTGCCACTTCCCAGCACAAGGGAAAGAAGACGCGGAGGAGCAGGAGGAGGCCCGGCAAGGGCCCGCTGATCGAGGAGGTGTTGGTGGAGGACGTCCTAGAAGGGAAGGACGATGAGTCCAGTGAGTGTAGAATCTCGGCCTTCAAACGCTTGGGAGGCAAGGATACCCGAGTGTCGGCATTCGACCGGCTCAACCGCGGACCGGAAGGCCGTCTAGGTGATCTTCGCCGGCAGATCTCTGAGGGTAGGCGGAGGAACGCTGAGGAATCAGCGACCTCGGATGCGCGCTCGGCGAGACCTGAGCGAACCGAAGGCCGAAGGGGCGAGCGAACTCAGCGTCGCCAGAGCCCATCCAGAACCGAGAAGACTAAGGTCCCTGAACGGGGTATGACTGAGCTTGCGCGCGAGATTGCCGAGCTCAAACGCCGAGTAGAGACAAAGTCCCCCTACAGCCAGCCCATCTTGCGCACGGTAACCCCGTTTACACGGAGGGTGATGTCAATTCCGCTGCCGACAAACTTCCGTCCGTGGCAGATCAAGGCTTACAGCGGGACGACGGATCCCCAGGATCATTTGTCAAAATTCTACGCTTCGATGGAGGCGGCGGCAGCCCCGGACGTGGTCAAGTGCAGGTGCTTCCTCGCGACGCTAGAGGGCTCTGCGTGCGATTAGTTCAACCGGCTCCCAAAGGGAACCATTGACGATCGGGATACGCTGGCGGAGAAGTTCTTGACGCATTTCGCGGCCAACCGAAGGCAAAGGCTGCCTTATTCCCACCTGCTCAACATATGCATCCGCAAGGGAGAAAAGGTCCGCGACTTCATAGTCCGGTGGGAGAAGGAAGCCAGAGACGTGCATGGGGCGGATGACCAGGCGTTGGTTGCCATGTTCCAAGCAGCCCTCCCCCGCGGAGATGTGAGGAAGGAGCTCCGCAAAAATCCTCCCCCCACGTACCAAGAGACCTTGGCGCGCGCAAAGTTCTTAGCCTCGGAGGAGTTCGATGACGCCCTGGAATCCGAGGCCGCGCCGGCTAAGCGAGCTTCAGTAGATTCGGGAGAGGCCGCGAAGAAGAGGAAGAAGAAGAAAGACTATACCGCGGGCCCGAGGACGCCCTCGGCCGGAGTATACTCTGTGGGCGCCCCCGTGGGGGCGGGTCGAGAGCTTGCCCTTTCCCAGCTCCCCCACGTAGAGGCTTACGCGGTGTCCAGCGGAACTAAGTAATGCGAGTACCATCGTAACAACACTCATAACACTAAGGAATGCTTCACTCTCCAGAAGGAAATGCAACGACTCATCGCCCGAGGGCCGCTTCCAAGAGACGACGCGGCTACCCCCTCCTGGGGCCCGCCGGAAGGAAGAACTTGGAGGAAGGCGACTGAGCCAATCGCAGTGGTGACGCAGGCAAGGAACCCCGAGAAGAGGCACATCGGGCGGGAGTGCAACGATCTAGACGAAGACGAAGCCCAAGGATATCCGGTGGGATTTATCCATGGGGGAAACATTGGCGGGGACTCCGCCGCTCAAAGGAAGAGGTGGAAGCACATGGCCTTTGTCGCCAAGGTCCATCAGGCGCCGGCGCCCAAGCTCGGAAGACGAGAGCAAATCCAGTTCACGGAGAAGGATCTTCCGAACACGCCGAGTCCCCACCGGGATGCCTTAGTCGTGAAGATAGAGATCAACGACGCCATAGTACACCGCACCTTGGTGGACACGGGAAGCTTAGTCAATATAATGTACGAGAAAACATTCCAAGACCTCGGCTTGAACCGCAAGGACTTGAGGCCTGTGCGCACTCCTCTCTCCGGATTCACGGGGGACTCCATCGAGGCCGAGAGAGTTATCGTCGTATCCGTGATAGTAGGGGATGGTGCGCACAAGGCGAAGCTGAAGATGGAGTTTATGGTTGTGAGCATCAACTGTGCGCACAACATGATCCTGGGGCGGCCCGGCCTTGAGGACTTGGAATGTGTGATCTCCCTGTACTACTTATGCATGAAGTTCCCCACTCCGTCCGGCATCGGGGTGGCAAGGGGAGACCAAAAGTTGGCCCGATCGTGCTACGTAAGAATCACGAAGAAGTTGCCGAGGGATGAGACAATGGTCGTACACGCGCAAGAGGGAATGCGCAAGCTGGAAGCTCGGCCTTCGGCCGAGCCCGCCAAGGAAGTCGAGGAAGTGCTGCTCGACCCACAAGTGCCCGAGCGGAAGGTTAAGGTCAGGGCGACCCTGACGACGAGCCAGCGGATGCGCTTGGTGGAAGTGCTCGCCGCCTACCGCGTGATCTTCGCGTGGGGACCTGGGGATATGCCGGGGGTGGACCCCAAGATCATATGTCACCGGTTGGCGGTCAACTCAGAATCTAGGCCGGTAAAGCAGAAGAAGCGTTTCCTCTCGTCCGAGCGGAGGGAGTTTGTCTCCAAGGAAGTGACCACCCTCCAAAGCATTGGGCATATCAAAGAAGTTAAGTACCCGGAATGGATGGCAAACGTAGTGTTGGCTCCGAAGGGAAATACATGGAGGATGTGTGTGGACTACACCGACCTAAATAAGGCATGCCCCATGGATCCATTCCCACTCCCGAACATCGACCAGCTGGTGGATGAGACGACGGGTTGCGAGCTCATGAGTTTCATGGACGCCTTCAGCGGGTACCACCAAATCCGAATGCACCCTGAAGACGAAGAGAAGACGTCTTTCACTACCCCCGGCGGAGTTTATTGCTACAAGGTGATGCCTTTTGGACTCAAAAACGCCGGGGCAACCTACGCTAGGATGGTGAGCAAGCTCTTCGCGCCCGTCCTCGGGAAGAGCATGGAAGCGTACGTCGACAACATGATTGTGAAAAGCAAGCAGGCAACCACCCATGCGGAAGACTTAGAAGGAGTTTTCAAGATTATGGAGAAGTACAACCTTCGGCTGAACCCGAAGAAGTGCACGTTCGGAGTTAAAGGCGGTAAGTTCTTGGGACACATGGTGAGCAGGCGCGGTATTGAGCCCAACCCCGAGAAGGTGCGCGCCATCCTTGACATGGAAGCTCCACGAAATGTCAAGGAGGTGCAGCGCTTGACCGGAAAGTTGGCTGCGCTCAGCCGCTTCCTTTCCAAGGTAGCGGATCGAGCCGCTCCATTCTTCCAAGCTGTGAAGAAGTCCCGAGGGTTCGT